AAAAAAAATAAAAGTATAAAAAGAAGCCTACAGGGCTTACAGGACCAGCAAGAGAAATGCAATAAAAGAATACCAGAAGGAGAAGAGAAAGACAAAGGGACAGAAGGGCTGTTTAAAATAAAAATGGCTCAAAATTTCCCAAGATAGGGGAGAAGTTTCATTTTCTCCTTCTGCTGTCATCAAACAACTCAGTTAGAATTTTCTTCCCTGAACTTTACTTATAGATCAGGCAGGTCTCCCGGCAGCGGGGTAGGCTGCGCCCAGTCGAGCGGGGTGGGGCTGTGGGCGGGGCCGAGGCGGAGCGCTGAGTGGCAGCGCCTCTGGCCACCCGCGAGCCGAGAACGCGCCGGGGGGCGGTGTCAGGACACGCACAGAAGCGCACCGTAGGGGGCCCTGTCACCCGCTGAGAGGCAGATTTTTTGACTCGGTGACATCGAGGAAGTGCTACGTGTTTTATGAGTGCTGTATCTGCGGCGCGGGGAATTCGGGTTCGAATTCCGAATCCTAGCTCCAGAGGCCCGTTTTGGGGGGAGAAGAATGTCCCCTCCTAACCGATCGCTTGACCTGCAGGATGGTAACAATGATCCCTCTCATTGAACCCTCTGCAGGAGGTGTGAAGGCGAAGGGCTATTCGTCCCATCTTGCAGCGGTGGAAACTGAATCTCAGAGAGAGGTTATGCAAAGGTTCTCTGCCCGAGACTGTCTTATTGCCAGGGTCTCTCGATTTCCTAACGCCTAGGTGTGAATCCTAAGATGCAGGTTCTCAGGTGTTCACCCAGATTTCAGCTGCAAGCTGGACCCTCTGGAAAGTGAATTTTTAACAGCCTCCTTACTTACCCCCGTGGCGCTGAGAAACACTTGCATTTCTCCAAAAGCATCTAGCGGGCACAGAGATATTCCTTAAATAGGAAGGTAGAGTTAACATTCTGGTCTCAGGATCTTTGTGCAGTACTGATATTCTGTGATCTGAGTTGCTCACCTCCCAGCCATCCCTGCCCCCTTCCACCTGTCACCCCAGAGGGGTCTCCCTGTTCAGCCCCAGTGGCACAGAGAGCCAGACTCAGGGGAAGCCAACTCACCCCCTGTCTACATCTCCCCAGGGGAATTACTGTCTGAACAAAGGTCGCAAATGGTGGCTCCCAAGTTAGATGTGACCCCAAATTCTTAAAAACTTCTAAACTCCTTACCAACATCTATATAAGGGCAGTTCACAGAAAGAAATCCAGATTTCCAATTGCCCTTCAAAAGGTCAGCCCTTCTTGCAGCAATCCGATGGATGACTACACAGGTTTCACTCAGAAGCATCATCAGGTGGCCCCAAAGGCAGAGTCGGGTGGGCTCAGGGTCAGGCAAGCAAGACTCTTCTCTCCAATCAAAACAAGAACATTTGCAGCGAGATAAATATTCCATTTATGCGACATTTTAAGGATTCAAAATAAGTGCAGAAGTAAAAACAGGATGAACAAAGTGCCAAAATTTAAAGGCCAGATGTGTTTCTGTACCGGCGCAAGCCCGCCCTAGCCCTGACTGCCAGGCCTGCTTTTATTTAAAATATTGCTATTTTATTCGGCATGACTCCTGTGTATTAAACACCGCATGAGGATATTATGCATCCCGATGATGACTGAGATTTCGTCACCCCCTCTGGAGTTCGTTCCTGTGGTTTTGCTCACCCTAGTCTACCCCTGCTTCTACTGTACCAGGCAGCTTCAAGTGAACATTTAGCAGGGAGGGAGACCGAGGGGCTCCATGTAAGGGGCTCACAGTGCTTGCTCGCTCCCCTCAATTGGCTGCTGACTGCTGGAGGCGCTGAAGGAACTGTGGGGGTCCTCTGGGAGGTGCCACGTTGTTCCCAGGCCACCTCTGTGTCACAGTAAAATCCCAAACACTTCCAATGGCCACCGGACTCTGCTTGACCCCCACTGACCTCTGGGGTAGGGGTCTCCTAAGTCTCTTCCCCCCTCCCCAGCGGCCTGGTATGTGCTCCTGGCCTCCGCCCTCCAGTGCCAGCTCAGATGGCACACCTCCTAAATCAAGTGGGCCCCCCTAGCTACACAGACTCCCCTTGTCAGTTTTGTGATCCTCATTCCTCGTCTTGGAAGCGATCACCTGAGATAGTGGGATTCAGTGTTTGGTGGAGATGCTCTCCCCCAGTGGTCATGAGCAATGAGAAGGACCTGCCTGGTGTTTGAGCCTGTCATTGCTGTGTGTCCAGTGGCCAGCACAGAGGGCAGAGGCAGGCATACAGTGGGTGCTATTACCTGCGAAGGGACTGAACAGATGAAGAAACAAGCGAAATAGCAACTGAGTGAGAGTGTCTCAGCTCCGGGCAGTCTGCTCCCGAGCCAGGCTATAGCTTTTCCTGCAGAGCCCCTCACCCCACTGGTCTGGGTGGGTGGGAGGAGGTTCTTCCTGCTCCACACCCTCTGAAGCCCGCCCCCCTCCCCTCTGCTCTTCCACCTCTCTCCTGTGCATCGCAAAGAAACCATCCAGGTTCACAGAAAGTCCAGGGTGGGAAGGGCGGCTGTGCAGGGCGAGTGGGAAGCCGGGGCTGGCGGAGGCCTTGGCCAAGTCATCAGACCCGGAGCTCAGCTCGGAGCTCGCAGAGCCCAGCTCCAAATGCCAGCTGCAAGACTGCCCCCAACTCCCCTCCCCACATGTCCCCCACCCTTCACCTCCTGTCCTCCTCCTCCCTACCTGCTGCATCCCCACTCCTCGCCTCCTCCCTCCTCACCCCTGCCCTGTACCCCCATGCCTCACCCCCACCCTTCACCTCCTTATCCCCACCCCTTAGCTCCTCCTCCGTCCCTCCTTCCCGCACCCCATCCCTATCCCCACCCTTTATTTTCTCACCCCTCACCTGCACCCATCATCCTTCTGTCCTGCACCCCATCTCTAACCCTGCCCCTCACCCACACCCTTCCCTTCCCTCCTCCTTGCAGGCAGCAAGCCCCACCCCAAATAAGGTGCACGGGTGGCTAATGCAGGACCCACTTTTTATTGCAGGAAGACTATAGAGCAAATGCTACACAGACCCCCCAGGACAGGGGGCAGGGGGCACCCACATGCGAGGGGGGCTGTCAAGGAGCAGGGGCTGGATCACAGCAAGCGTGGCCTGGCTCAGTCCCCAGAAACAAGGGTGCACAGGCAGGATGGCCAGCAGCTGGGCAGGTACTAGCCTCCCCCTGTGCAGAGCCTCTCTCTCCCTGGGGCGGGCAGGGTCTAGGGTGGGAGAGACCCAGAGGCGGGCAGGGCCCCAGGGAGATTGTGCTATCAGGGTTTGTCCCTGAGAAAGGGCTGCAGGCCCCTGCCCAGCCCCACCCTCTCCGGCACCTTCAAGGCCCAGGAACCACCCCCGGGGTGGGGGAGGGGGACACCTGCTGCTGGTGGGCTCTGGACCCCCAAGGAGAAGGGGGCTCACTGTGTTCAGACAGGATGCTACGGGCTCTTACATGGGCGAGTCCATGCATTGGGTGGTGACACCCCCCCCCACTCCCACTCTCTCATAGTTTTCCCAGTAAACATTTGTAGAGTGAACAGTCACAGGAACACAGAGAAAAACAAACACATTGCCAACAAGATGGACATAAACAGTCCCTCCTACCTACAACTGACAAGACTCACACAGCAGCTTTCTCTCATGCACACTCCCGGAGTTTAGTCCCAGTGTGCAGGTGTGCACAGCTGCACACACACAGCTTGGGGTGACACTGGTTGTCACCCCAGGGAGGGCCCACTTGGCAGGGAGGTGAGTGTGCAGTGAAGACCTCAGCCTTGCTATAACAGGAAACCACCCCCCCCCCAGGTGTCCATGGAAGTGGCTCCTTCCCCTGTTGGGCCTTCAGATGAAACCTCAGCCCAACCAGCACCCACAGACACTGCCTTGTGAGACCCTGAGTACCAGACTCAGCCCAACCACCTCCAGACACCTGGCCCCCAACACCCGGAGCCGTGTGTTATTTCAAGTTGCTGAGTCTGTGGTCATCTGCTAGGCAGCAATGGCTGATGGGTAGCGATGAAGCTGAGAGCCACCGGGCTAGAATCAAACCAGCTTTGTGTTCTACAAGAGGGTTTACATATGCTCTCCGATAGAGCATTTCCCTCACTCCCCTAAGCACAGGTCCCTACAGACACATACATGTGAGTGCAAAGGTTTACGTCATACACGACAAATAAGTCACTTGCATTGTGTGTGTTCTAGGAATTGTGACACTGGGCAGTTTTGTCATTGTGCAAACCGCACTGAGTGTGATGACACACGCCCAGAGGGGACAGACTAGTGTACACCCAGGACGTGGTCCAGCCTGTAGGGTCACGGTAGACACTGTCTGTCCTGGGCCTAGAATTCTGATGTGGGATATGGCGCTATCCAATCCTGTGACAACCGGTGATGCATGACCCCATGCCTTTAGAACACACGCTGACCATCCCATGAGGATGCCATCCGAGTGACAGTGACACACACAGACACACACTCAGACACAAGCTACTTCCCTTGCACACCAGTTTGCACAAACGCACGCTGCCGAGGTCACCCCACCTCGTGTCGACATGTCATCTTTAAACGTCCACCACAGCTCCAGAGGTCAATGAGCGTAGCCGTCAGCACACTGCACGGAGCACTCAGCCTCTCCAGGTGGCCAGTACACTCCGACTCAGGGCACAAGCCTCGCAGGCCTGGCCACGGTGGGCTCAGTTGCCCACCATGACCCAGCAAACCCCCTCCCTGGCACCTCAGATGCTGCAGCCCCGGGGTTGGTGTTAAAGACCCATGCCAATCTCTTTCTCAATGGAAGGAGCAGACCTCTAGCCTGGCTGTGTTTCAGAAGCCCCCCATGTTTGCACCGGACAGCCCCCCAGGTTGTGCTGTGGCCACTGGCCAGTCCCGGGCAAGGAGTGGGATTCCAGGCTGGCGGGGCACTGCTGCAGACCCTGTGGTTATTGCCTGGTGGCCTGAGGCCCATCCCGCAAGGACCCCCTCCCCCACGCTGTGGGGAAGGGGCAATGGGGGTGGTCTGGGACCCAGGGCTGGGGGCACAGGCCAGGGGTCTGAGAAATGGAAGGAGAGGAAGGAATGTACGTTCATCATCACCCAGGAGAAGAGAAAAGCTGAGGTCCATGTGCATTTCACCCTCCCTCCCCGGCAAGGTCACAGTGATCTAATGAGGGGTGCTGCAGGTCTGGCTGGGGGCATCCAGGGAACAGGGGCAGAGATGGGGGTCCTCAGAGACACAGAGATCTCAGCATCCTCTGGCCAGACTGGGACAGCAGCTTCTTCTCTTGCTGGCTCCTTATTTCCCATGTGCAGAACAAGGGGTCACTTCCAACACGAGGCTCTGGAGGTTATGGACAAGAGGCGGGGGGGCGGGGAGGAGGGCAAGGAAGGGGGAGGCAGAGTGAAAGACGGGGCCAGACCTTCTTCAGGCTTGCCGGGGACCCAGTTTCCTCAGCAGAGATGTTGGACAAGAGGAGAGAGGGGGGAGAGATGAGAAGGGGAGCGAGGAGGGAGAGGGGACAGGACTGGCAGGAGGAAGAGGAGAGGAGGAGCAGGGGGGAGCAGGGGGAGGACTCGGGCATCTGGGAGAGGCGCGGGCGGGGACAGCGGCTGCCATCGGCTGCCATGGAGAGGTCATGGTCGCGGAGCTCACATGAGGGTGCATTTGCCCTTGATGCGGTCTGTCCTCTTCTGCTTGCTGGAGCGCTTGCCGTCGATGTTGAGGCTCATGTTCCGGCGCGTCTCCAGGGTGAGCAGCTCCTGGAACAGCTCCTTGACGTTGTAGTTCATCTTGGCGGACGTCTCCATGAAGGCACACTTCCACTCCTGAGCCACGGCCTGGGCCTCGCGGGTCTCCACCTCCCGCTGTGTCTCGTCACACTTGTTGCCCACCAGCATGACCGGGATGTCCTCCACGCTGCCCTTGATCTGCACGATGAGCTTGTAGATGGGCCCGAGCTCCTCCAGCGACTGCTTGCTGGTGACAGAGAAGACCAGGATGAAGGCGTGGCCCTTGGAGATGGACAGCCGCTGCATGGCAGGGAACTGGTGGCTGCCCGTGGTGTCGGTGATCTGCAGGGTGCACACGCTCTTGTCGCAGCTGATCACCTGCCGGTAGGTGTCCTCAATGGTGGGGATGTAGGTGTCCCGGAAGGTGCCCTTCACAAAGCGCAGCACCAGGGAGCTCTTGCCCACACCACCTGCTCCGAACACCACCACTCGGTAGTCATTGCTCTGCTCAGGCATCTTCCAGGCGGGGGGTGAGGGCTGGGGCGGCTCGCGCAGCTGCTAGAACTCCAGGCTGACCCTGTGTGGAGAGGACTGTCAGGCGCAACGGGACACTGACTGGGGAGGGGACAGCTGCTGGCCGGGGGTCAGGAGGGTGCTTTCTGGAGAAGGCCTGGGAAGGGGCTTCTGGCTGACCTGCCTGACCGCAGCTCTGCCCTGCACGCAGGCTCAGCTAGCACCGTAGTTGTTTCCTCCCCCAGCCTGGGTCATCCCCGGGGAGACGCCAGTGCACAGTGCACATTTAGCTCCTTCCCCACTTGCATGGCCGCCCTGCCACGTCGTCCTCTCCTCCCAGCACTGCCGTGAGCTCTGGAAGCCAGCAGCCCTGGCCAGGGTTGCTCCGCCACACTGAGCCTCGGTCTTCTCTGCAAAATGGGTGAAGTGGTACTGACCCAGCAATCCCAGACTCCCGGGCCTTCCTCCAGCCCAGGGGATCCTAAGCCTGTGGAAGCTAGGAGCTGGAAGGCATTTAAAATGAAGATTGCAGGGTCTTGGCCTGGACACTTGCATTTTAAGACCCTTCCCATCCCCAAATCCCATATTCAAGATCTTGATCCTGGAGGGCCAACCACAGGCTGCTTTCAAGCGGCATCTCACTTGAAGGAAATGAAAAGTGATTCTAAAGAAAAAAAAAAAAAAACCACTCCCTAAATTCTGCACCCAGCCAAGACCGATTTCTGCACTTTTCTGTGCCCGTGCCTGCCCCCCATATATATACATATGTATCTCCTCCCCTGTGCTCAGAGCTTGCAGGGGCAAGGGACAGGGCTCTTATTTAAAAACAGGCGACCTCTTCCTTTGCTGTTTCAGAGTCATCTCTAAGGGTCCCCGTGGGAGGCGTAGTTACAGTCGGACAAAGGAGACACAGGACGGCTGCACGTCCCTGGGTGTGTGCAACGCCTGATGGGGAGACTCAGACAAGTAGGTCGGTGCCCCCCGACACTCCGTTTTATTAGCTGTGAAGCGTAAGCAGTGCCCACTTCGGTCGCTAGACAGCCCGCAGCCACATGAACCCTAACTCTGAGCTGCAAGGACTCCGGGGTGAAGCCTCAGCTGCCTGTGTGCTGCGAAGGCATGTTCTGAAGAGTCAAAGGCACGGGGTTGTCAGAAAAAGACCCACCGTGAAAGTAGCAGCTGACACATTCCCCACAGATTATGTGCCAGGCAAACTTCTGGGAGCTTTAGCAGAACTGACTGGTGGCTGACTCTTACGCTGGTGGGTGACACGCATAGCAGTGCTCAGCAGAGGGAGGAGGCTGGGGTGGGGGGGGCAGCTGGTGGGGGTGCTGGCCAAGTCAACAGTCACCCATTCTTTTCTGGGTGGGCACCCCAAGAGTTGGCACGCTGGTATGCAGCCAGGCACCCTCATGATGGGCCTGGGCACTTGAGGTGCAGGAGATGATCCATCTGTCACCCAGTCCCAGCCCTGGCCATACCCTAGGTTAAGAGGCCATAAGCAGGAAGGGCCCCACTGGGGTCTGCGACCCAGGACCCCTAAACGAGGAGCCCTCATTCAATAATCCCCAAATCCACAACAAGCACCCACCTGGTGCCCTTTGAATTCCACCTTCACCCACCATCTGTGGGGTGAGGATGGAAGAGGGGGGTCACAATTCAGAGCTGAAGCTATGAGAGGGGGGAGGTAGTGGCTCAAGGTCACAGAGCAGGGAAGTGGCAGAGCAGACCAGGATTTGAACTTGGCCTTGATTAGCTGCACAGCTGGCTGGGGTCCGTCCCCAGTATAAGGCAGCCCACCCTCAGCCTCCAAGGCTCTGCAGACCTGCCCAGCCTGGGTCCAGGGGGTCTCAGTGCAGAGAGGGTGCAGTGATGGGGGAAACCAGGCCCCCACCGGGGGAGGGCCTGGGGTGTTGGATGCTTGATCGAAGGTGGGGGTGGGTGGATCTGATCTCGGGACCACCTGATTTATGTGGGGTTGAGGAGAGAAGGTCTGCTCTAGGGGGCTGAGGGAGGGAAGGCATTCTCAGCGCGGCCAGCCTAGGTTCGCCCCCCTTGGCTAAAGGAGGCTCCAGCTGGTGGGGGAGGGGCCTCTGAGTGAGGGGTTTGGCTTGGCCCAGGGGGCAGACCCGCAAGCGGGTATGCGACGGTGGGATGGGGGTGGGGCGTGGAGATAAGTTCGGGGCCTAATTGAGTCTTCGTGGTGGGGGTTCTGCTTGAGGGGCAGCGACCGGCCCAGAGAGCGGAGCTGAGTTGGGCCGGGGGAGGCAGCGCGGGCGCCCCGTAAATTCCAAGGGATCTCCCCTAGCGCGAACGCTAAGATGGAGCTGTCCAAGGTGGGCGCGCGGCGGGCTTGGGGAGGGGTCCTGGCCCAGAGGCGCGGCCCGGCAGGAGGAGGGCCCGGCAGGCCGGGAGGGTGGGGCTCGGACAAAGGAGGGGCGCGGGGCTCGCTGGTGAGGTGCTGCGGGGCCCGGCTCCCCGCCGCC